GGGGGGGGGGGGGTAGGGAAGGGCGGTCCTGCCAAAGTCACGGCCCAAGCAGAGGCACGAAGAGGAGGACGTTGGACAGAGGAGAGCGGGGCCTGAATGTGGCTGGGCTGCTGGGGCTCTTGTTCCCAGGGAACCTATGCCACAGTCTTCAAAGGGCGCAGCAAACTGACAGAGAACCTCGTGGCCCTGAAGGAGATCCGGCTGGAACATGAAGAAGGCGCGCCCTGCACTGCCATCCGAGAGGGTACAGCATCCTAGGGTCCTGTAGCCTTGGGGCTCCTGGGAGGGGGGGTTCCTGGCCTGAGCCCTGGTGGCAGCCGGGGGGCCAAGAGTCATTGCTGGAATGGGGACTCCTGAGGCTGGTCCCAGGAGGGGAGGGTATGAGGGGCATATGGGGCCTAAGGGACCCAGGCAGGCCTGTCTCCCCATAGTGTCTTTACTGAGGAACCTGAAACATGCCAATATTGTGACCCTGCATGACCTCATCCACACGGAGCGCTCCCTCACTCTGGTGTTTGAGTACCTGGTGAGTTGGGGAAGGGGTGGGGTGGGGGAGAGGGTGGGGGTGGCCCAGGCCTTTTTCTGGAATCAGGTTCTCAGATGCTCCCATGCAGGAATGGCCCGAGGGCCCAGGCTTAGGGGCAGCTCAGAGCCAGGGACCTGTCCCACTCCTCGGCTTGGGCCCTGCCCAGGGAAGGGCGCCTGGCCAGGCGTCAGGTCTGGGCGAGGGCTGAGCCAGGCCCTGTGTTCCAGGACAGTGACCTGAAGCAGTATCTGGACCACTGTGGAAACCTCATGAGCATGCACAACGTCAAGGTAAGAGCCTCCTTGTCACGGACCTCCCCGCTCTAACGCTGAGCGTCAGGTTCCCTCTCTGTCAAACGGGAGCGTGAGTTACCTGCCAGGATGAAGAGAGGCTTCGGGGAAATTCAGAGGGACGAATGACCTCTTCTGTGTGCATACCTCCCCACACAGGCAGGCTTTCTGGCCCAGTGTGGCGCCTCTCAGCTCCCCGGCTGGGGTACTCTCTCCTCCCCCACCCTCCTGCCTCCTCTGTACACCTGGTGCCCTGCCCTCTGGATGGCATTCCCTGGGGTGGATGGGGCCCAGGATGTGGCTTCCACGCGGGCAGGAGAACCAGGTAGCTCTCTAAGTACCTCACCTCCACCCAGTCTTGTCCGCATCCCCGTCGCAGCCACGGGGAAGAGGTGCAGGATTCCTTCCTCCCCCCTCCCCTCCATGGGACATGCTCCCACCTTGCACTGCTTCCCTTCTTTTCCCTCCCCCAGATTTTCATGTTCCAGCTGCTCCGGGGCCTCGCCTACTGCCACCGCCGCAAGATCCTGCACCGGGACCTGAAACCCCAGAACCTGCTCATCAACGAGAGAGGGGAGCTGAAGCTGGCCGACTTCGGTGAGGGCCAGAGCCCACAGGGCTGGGGCGGGCTAGTGGAGGAATCTGACACAGTCTCCTCAGGATGTGGGCACTGTCGGGGGCGGGGGGCGGGGGCAGTTCAGTGACGGATCTGTCCCTAGGACTAGCCCGGGCCAAGTCAGTGCCCACGAAGACCTACTCCAATGAGGTGGTGACCCTGTGGTACAGGCCCCCCGACGTGCTGCTGGGGTCTACGGAGTACTCCACCCCCATCGATATGTGGTAAGCAAGTGCTGTGGGACTGGGTGGGGGGTTGGGGGCGTGGGGCAGGGGCTTCCGCCCCTGCGACTCGCTTTTGCTACCCCAAGGGGCTCTGAGAAAGACTGTCTAATCTCTTTTGAATAAAAGCCATGTGACATCCTGCTGGAC